CAGCCTATTGACTTTGACGGTCTTGCTCATCTCTGCCCAGCTGTGCGCCTCCTCACTCTCCTAGACAGCGTCGTCATCACACTCCGTCTACTGCGAGCAATCACGACAACATCCATTGTTGGCTTGAATGATAATAAAGGCATTCACGAGTACGACAAGAAAAGCGAACAAGCGCATACTCAACCGTCTGTTCCACAACACAACCCACTCGTGTACATCTACGCTTGTATCCCGCGTCAAAGCCGTGACAATGGCCTCGAACAACAACAAGACAACGCCCAAAATAACTTCGCTCACGGACCTCCCCTCTTCAGAGGCAAAATGGATCAAACTGCAAAAGGCGACCTACACGGACGCTCACGGCGCGTCTCGTGTCTGGGAAATTGCTAGCCGCAAGACAACGGGCAGCGCAGGTGTCGACGCCGTGGCCATGGGCAACATCATCTATCACCCCAGCAAGCCACCATCTACCATTGTAGTGATCCAGTTCCGCCCGCCAGTCGGCGGATTTACCGTCGAGTGGCCCGCTGGCCTCATCGACAAGGATGAGACGCCCGAGGAAGCAGCCGTGCGCGAGCTGTACGAGGAGACGGGGTACAAGGGCACTGTTGTCTCTACCTCTCCAGCTGTGGCTGCGGACCCCGGCATGACGAGTGCGAACCTGTGTCTATGCATGGTGGAGATTCATCTGAAGGAAGGGGATCCCGAGCCCGAACAGCACCTGGATGAGGGCGAGGACATCCAGCGTGTTAATATTCCCGTGGCAGAGCTGTATACGCGGCTAGAGGAATTTGCCAAGGAAGGCTACGTGGTTGCGGCGAAATTGTATCACTGGGCAGCAGGCGCACAGTACGCGATTGACCACCCAGAGTTGTTCCAGAAGGTGGGGAAGAAGGCAGAGGGTAGCTTGTAACATGTACGCCCGTTATGTAGTTGTGTCCACTAATCATACCACTGTTGACATGTCTAGAAATAAGTTGTACATACCAAACAGATCTCTTATTCCGAGATCTCTTACCCAAAACACCACAAGGAGCTGGCCAAGGTCTTTGAGGGTTGTGCTAGCGTGAATTACTGGCAACAGTTGAACGCCATATATTTACTTGACAAAATCACGGTTCAGCAAGGTCATCACATGGGGTACATTTGACAATCTCGTAGCAAAAATACATTTCAATGCTCGTCTTCTTCAAAATATAGTCTAGACATTAAGCACAACGGTTTATCCAGCCCATCACATGGTCCCATGTACGTGTATCAACCTTAGCAAGGCTTGTAATCGAGAGCTCTCCACCCGTGAGCGACGCCAAGTCATAATTCGCTGACGTCGTGCAGCAAACCGTAATTTTTTCCAGTCAACCCCCCTCCCTCCTTCCCCCAAATCATTGTATAGTGATAGCCAAAAAGTGTTATGTACACCAATAAAAGTCGGCAAAGCCACAAGCTGTGTGGTGTATTGCTGATAAACGCCGGAGAATCCAAATGCATGACAAAGTGTAAGACAATCAGGAAAAAGGGAATGCTAGAAGGCCTGTCGAGCGACTGACTATTGGAATTGCAGACGGAACAAGAACCGAAACGCTCAAAAAGAAAGAGAGATTGGGCTTATTTGCTAGGCTTCTGCTTGCTGAGCCTGTTTCGCTTCTTGGAGTCGGACGAATCACTGCGTCCGTGGCTTGCAGCGGGGATGACGGGCTGACCAAGCGGCGCAGGTGATACATCGCGCATCAAACTGCTCTGTTGAGGGGCCTGAAGCTCAATGTCATCGCCTGGCGCAGTCTGGACATAGCTCTGGTACGCAAGGGGGCTGCGTCCCTGTCGTTGGTCCATGCTGTTTGAGCGATTATATGACGGCTTTGGCGACTCGAGCGGGGACTTTTGCTCAGCAGAGAGAGGCGAGGTGCGCGATTGTCCGAGTCGTTGAGTGTTCTTCAAGTTGTATACTGAGTCGTCGTCGACGGAGTCAACCGACTCGCTGTACATGCCCTTGCTAGCACCGGCACTGACTTGGTAGGGTCCAGTGCGAGGCTCCTCGAAGAAGGCACCACCGGCGGGCTTCTGGGTCTGTTGCGTCTTGTGGTATACACGGGCATCCTCGGGATCCATGAAACTCTCGACACGACGGGGGAGGTAGACCGAGTTGTTGGCAGAGGTGTCGTAGGAGGCGAAAGAATCCATCGAAGTACGTGGGTGCAGAGGAACATGAGGAACATTGGGGTTGCGGGGCATGGTGTTGGGCAAAGTGAGGCCAGAGTCGTTGCCTTGTTGGTACCATCCGTTGGGCAAGCGCTCTGCAGCAGCAAAGCGTCCATCGATGTTGTCTGAGGGCTGGAGAGGGGCAGCGCCAGCGTGGGACTTCTTGGCCTCGGCGGCAGCCTTGAATGTCTCGGGAACGACATTGAGATCGTCACCGGTGGCCTCTGCATTCTCAATAGCCTCTTGAGGAGTTGTTTTGGCATCGGCAGTTCCAGCATCGGCACGAGGTCCTCCCCATGTACGCTGACCGGCAGTGAAGATACCGTAGACCATGTACATCCAGTTGAAGAAGGGGTTGATGACGAACATGAGGGGGTACAGCATGATCTTGTAGCGGCCGAGCTTGGCACCAAAGTACAACATGAGAAGCCAGTTGAGTCCAAGGGAGATTGCGATGAAACCGACGGGCAAGTTCTTGACTGCTTGCGAAGTGGTCATGAGAGAAATGCACAGGATGAAGAAGAGAAGGGCAGTTGTTCGGATGGTGTTCTGCATGAAGCGAACGACGAGGAGGATGGGGTAGCGCTTCCAGAGACGGATGTCAGTCAACATGCACACTTCGTTGGTGATGAAACCCAGGAACCAGCGGCGACGTTGCTTGAGCAGCGATTGATAGGTTTGCACAGCTTCGGTCTTGCAGAAAGCACCGGGGTTCATCTGGATCTGATAACGTTCCTTGGCGCCGACCATGAACAAGTGGGTGAGCCAACGGTCCTCGCCCAGGTGGCACTTGCCGTAATCGAAGAGGTCGTCACATTGCTCGGCCTTGTCGGCGAAGTAGTACTTTGCCATTTTGCGGAAGGCCGAGAATCGAAGCATGGTAAGAGCACCGGGCAAGCAGGTGACGGCACCGCAACCGGATTCGACCGAACGCTCAAACAGCTGACCGTGAACGTACTCCATGTCCTGGAGAAGGGTGATGAGGGACTGCTTCTCAGTGGTCGATGTAATGACACCAGTTTGGGCCAACATGTTCTTCTTGCTACCAGGCTTGAGCTCCATCTCGTACATGAAGTTCTGAATGCACGTCTTGTCAAGAATACAGTCGGAATCGATGAAGAGCACAAACAGGTTGTCGTTGCGCTTGAGGTACTCGGTGTAGATCTTGTCAATCAGCTTAAAGGTCCTCTTCTGGCAGTGGCGCTTGCCACCGTGGGGGAAACGCGAGATTGTGATACGACAGCTGCGGTAGATGACGTCGATGGACTTTGGGTACGAGTCGAGAGTAAGGGGCACACCAAGCTTCTCGATGGTGTTGAGGTAGAGCTCGTCCTCCTGGTCTCCGTCGAACGAGAGGAAGATATGCAGGCAAGAAGGTGGGTATTCACAGTCGACGAGCGAATCGCAAGTTCGCAGCAGAATCTCGGGAATCTCCTTGTAGCAAGGCATGACGATGACAACCTTGGGAGCCGACGACTCGTCGAGAACCGACTTGATCCTGCGGGAGCGACCAACCGAGTGGGTGACGAGCTGGTAGACGCAGAACAGCCAGGGAACCGTCAGGAGACCGGCAAAGGACCAAAAGGCAAACCACTGGAGGAAGCCAACCATTTCTTCGGGAAAGTATTTGGTCACCTGCGGGGGGAGCGGCAGGGTGACGACCATGATGGGCAAGAAGATGGCACTGTTGCTGTCAGAAGCAGTCTCTTGGGGGAAAGAGGCGTGGCTAGCTTACCGGAGAAGGAAGAAGAGAATACCAAAGAAGATGGACAGAATGCGCACACTCATGGTTTCTGCCTTTTGGAAAACTTTGACGATGCAGTACATGAATGCAGCGACCCAGAGAAACCACTCAAGCAGGGCCATGAGCATGAGAGGGGCGATGATGGAGACATAGACGATCTGGGGCAGTCAGTGAGCAGGGGAAACGGCCGGTTTGGGGATCAACAAAACACTCACGTCTTTTGTTGGCCACGGGTCGGTGATGTCGGGGATGCCGTCATCTGCTCGGGCAACGAGGCCCATGAGGTGGTGCGAGGCCATTGTGGATAATTAGGCGTATGTGGTCGTGGTATGGCTGGGTGGAAGTAGCGAGTGTTGATGTCTGTCGCGGACAGTTGTGGAGCGAGTGTGGAAGGTGCAGGCGTGGCGGCTGCGCCGTGAAGCTGGGAAGCAACGGCAGCAGCAGTAGTAGTAGTAGTTGTTGTTGTTGTTGTTGTACGAGGCTAGAAAATGGTCGTCTGGGGCTCTAGTGAAGAGCAAGAGTGCACAAATGCGGTGCACACGGAGCCTGGTGCTAGCTGTCGATGGCGGCCGTGGCTGGCGGCGGCGGCGGAGGCAGCGGTAGCAGTAGCGGTGGCGGCAGGGCTTTTAATGCGGCGGGGGATGGGAGGGTTTGAGCGGTGGTAAACGAGTGTAAAGGTTGGGAACAAAGGAAGCAAGCAAAGGCAGGGCTCAGGGCAGGAGCATGGAGGATGGCAAGGCGAGGGAGCAACGGGCGGGAAGCAAGCAAGCAAGCAGATGCAACGAGGCGCCTGCAGGTGAAACGGAACAAAAAGTCGTCGTTGGCCTCGCAGCAGCGGGACTGGCCTGGTTTACAGGCTGGTGGGAGAGGCGGCGAGGGCGCGCGGGCCACGGCGCCATGTCCCAGAGCGGGCTAGCGCGGCTGGGCGGCAGTTGGAAGGCGCGATCGGCACAGGGGAGGGCGGCGCCCGCTTAGGCAGGCCTGCCCGCCTCCTTGACTCGAAAACGAACGTCGTGCAGGGGCTGGGGGAGCATCTGCCCCGACACGGTATTACCACGGCATGCCAACTGTTGCACGCGCTGCTCGTCGTCCATTGCACGTTTATTTTGGGCGCCCGCCCCCTGCCGTCGCCTGGCTGGCATCTGGTGCGCCGCGCACCCGCTGGCATTGGTCTGGCCTTCGCTTGCTGGCTGCTGCTGTCCACGGCCGGGCGTGTGGCCTTGGGCCCGCACAGAACAGCAGCGAGCATGGCAGTCGGCACACGGCAGACGGGCAGTCACAATGGCACTGTAACATGACGTCCTGTCACCGCGTGCGCATGGCGATTGGAGATTGGCACGCTGCTTCCGTGCCGCTACGTGCCTATAGCATTGCCAAGGCCTGGCTAGCCTCGCCTGCCGGCTGGCTTTGCTGGCCGCTCAGGGGGGCCTCCACACCCACACACTGCCATGCCATGCCATACCACACCACCCGCCAGGCGCCTCTGCCGTTGCTGTCCCTATTTACTTGGCTAGCACCCAACCCCTAGTCGTCGATTCATCTTCGTCCTGAAACTCGGACGGCAAGCCTGCCCCTCATGTCCATCTGTCACACCGCGCGCGGGAATCGCTCTTCGCTCCTACTTGGTCTGCCCGTGACAGCAAACGCTCTGCATCCGTTTCCCCCCCTTTCCCTCGCCTTCTCCTGCGCCGCTATGGCGGGGAGCATGGAAGCGCTAGGAAAAATACTCTTGCCAAAACACGAGCATGCAGTGGGGATGCTAGAGCGACCCGCTGCAAGAAAAAAAAGCACAAGGCGGCCGTGGCAGTCCCAACACGCTGCCCAATGACAGACACACAGGCCCCGTGCTGCATCCGTTTGTACCCACACCCGCAGCTGGCCATTTTTAACTCCCCCCTCACTGCCACTGCTCTTCTCGGCGTGGTCCTCGTCATGTCGCATATGGAAACATGGGTGTTGCACCTCGGGAGCCACTTCAGCCACCAGTTGCGATTAGGTGTACATTTCGCCATCCCGTATCCGCCGCTCATGCCTCCGCCGGCGTGCAATCGATAGTGCTGACTCCCCCGCCTGCACCTGCTTCTGCGCCGTTTTTGGCCTGAGGACCCGTCGCCATGGGAAACTAAGTGTCCATGTTCATGTGCCCATGTTCCAGTGCAAATGCAAACCCAATCGCCCGCCACATGCCACAACTCGTCTGCATCCACGCCCGTGCTTTCCAGCCTGTCCTGCTGCCCTGCTGCTTTTCCCACCTGCTTCAACCCTTGCCATGTTGAACAGACAGCACACCGCCCACTCGTTGCTGACTTGGCCCATGATGCTTTCCCCCTTGGGTCCAGAATTGCCTCTTGCCGGAGCCTCCTCGTAAGGAAAATACGGCCATTTAGCCGCCCCCCTCCCCATGTCTCTTCTCGAATCATCCGCCATGGCGCCGTCGTATTGTCTACTGCTTGACCCTGCCACCTCAGCCTTGCCCTTGCCCTTGCCCTCGTCCTCGTCCTCTCCCTCCCCCCTAAATTACATACACATGTCCACCACGTCCAAGTACTTATTTACTTAGAGTGGGATGCCTCATTACACCATCTGCCCGGCCCAGTGTTCCATCTAAATGTAAATCAAGTCCAGTCGCAAGCTAAACCAGGTGCCCTGCCCCCATACTCAGGGGGTTTACTTGTTCTGTAGATATTAAGACGCTATTGGTTTTGCTGTTTCAGCTTCCCGTTATTGCTTCTGCCCGTCTGGCAACGCCGCCACTGGGGGCCTCGTCCGACTCTGTACATGTATACCTAACATGGTTCGAAACTCTCTGAAAAAGGGTCCTTGCCCTTGTGCAATATGCAAAAATGGTACCCCATCGTCTTGTTGGTCGGTTTCGCCCTCGCTTGGCAATGCTGCCGCAAAAGCTCTAGTATCATGTCCCGTGCCGCGGCCCTGGAGCAAATACATACATGTTTGATACAAACTACAACCAATAGCACCACCTACTATATTCATGTCTACTTTTTGTCGTGTCTGCATCGTGTCAGTTGCCTGCGCCGGCAAAGACACATGGTCCGCTTGATTATAGCCTGTACGTAAGTAGCAGCAGAGCTCTATTCAGCACATCATGGTTGCAAGGCTGTGCAATCAACCTCTTTGAAGCTCACGAATGTCCATTCTTGAGCAAACAGCATGCAATTGTCATCCATCATCATGGACTTTTTGTACTTGTCCACGGAGTGCAATTCAAGTCGACGACTAGTCAGAGCCGGAGGAGCACCACGATTGGCCTGGCACATCCAAAAATGCGCTTAGTCACCCAAAACCCTCTCTCTCTCTCTCTCAACCGCGGGACACTGGACTGGAATGACGCACGGACAGTCACGACAAGTGAAGCCGCTGCAGGTACAATTTACACTCACTCCAGCGCGGGACCAGGCCAGAAATCCTCTCCGCCTCGGCATTGCCAGAGTCGCAAACACCCATCCTCTCACGCCAGCTTGTTCAACCAAGCCCAGACAAATGCAGGCAGCAGCTGCGCCCGATATATCTCCCGTCTTCCATGTGCGCGTATCATAACCGATCCGTGCTATCGTCCGCTGCCCCTCCACAGCTGCGGCATCGCCTACTCCACCATGGAGCGGCACAGAAAGCGTAGGCTCCTGCATGCTGCTTCGTTGCCTGCTGCTAACAGTAACCAGGAGAGCTGCGTGAACTCAATGTTCGCGCCTGGGATGGCGACCAAGGTAAATGACTCTACCACGCTGACGATTCCCCCCCCCCCCCCTCTCGTGCTGACCATGCAACAGATGTCTTTGCCGTCCAAGCCTCGCTCGATTCGTCCATGAAAAAGAATACCGCCTTTATCAAGCGCCTCCGAACCGCCATCAATGCACCTGCCCAAGCCCAGTTCCTCCAAGAAATTCGCGCCTTGTCCCTCCATAAATACCTCTCCGAAATTATTTCCGCCTGCTACGAAGGTCTGTGCAAACTCAAGACTCCAGGAGAAATTGCCGCCGGTGTTGAAATTGTTAGCGCTCTGCACCAACGTTTTGGCCCCGCCGAATTCACGGGATATATTGGCTGGTATATTGGGAGGGGACTTGCGACCCCGGACAAGTCACACCTGAAAACCCTCGCACAGGATGTGCGCGAGCGGGAAGAGAAGGAGCGCCTGGCGCGCCAGCGTGTGCTGCTACGTGTTGCTACAGAACTCTGGCTTGTCGGTGTCTTGAGAAGTCTGGATGACGTGACCCGACCCGAAGAAGCGAGCAAGGGCAAAGACAATGGCAAGCTGGTTGAAGGCTCGACAAAGACAAAGTCTCGCGCAGAAAACGCCGACGCCGAGCCTTTCCCGCTAGAAGTCTTGAAGGACATGCTTGGACACGACCGCGAACATGTCAACTTGCCCTTGGTTGTCATATTTGTCAAGGCTTTTGCATGGGATATACTCGGCACCAAGCCACCTTCTGCAGAGGGCCGCAAGACTGTCAATGATGACGGAACTACAGTGCCCGAAAAGAACGGTGACCTGTCTGGTGCCGAGGAAGAAGACGAAGCCAGCAAAGACCCGCCGCTCATCTCTCCAGAACTTCAGCAGCGATTCAAAAACATCCTCACTCGTTACTTCGAAGATGTCAAAGCACATGTCCTCCGCGATCAAAAACACATACTTAGCCAAGGCCGCAAGAATGCCGAAGCATATGTAAAGTCTGGAGAGGTCTTTGAGGATCGCCAGTCCAACTATGAGAAGCAGATGAAATCGCAAGAAAAGCTTATTGCAAACGCTCAAATCCTGGCTGACGCGTTGAACACGGATATGCCAGACTTGAAGGAAAAAGACGGCTCTGCAAATACGGGTGATGGTTCCATTGGCCTAATCAAAGCCGGCGAATACCTACGTGGCCAAAGCGACGGAGCTGGTATTTGGGAAGATGAGGAAGAACGCCGATTCTACGAAAACCTTATTGACTTGAAAGACCGCGTTCCCGGCATTTTGCTCGAGGAGGTTAAGAAGAAGAAGGCTGATGGCGACGAGCAAGTTGGCAAGAAGATTGAGCCCAAGACCGAGAGCTCCGAAAAGGAAGCAGCCGATGCAGTTGCCGATAGTAAAGCGGCCGACGGGGATGACCAGTCTACTGCCATTGCCAACAAATCCGTTGGCGCACAGGTCGATGCTCTTTTGGCACGCCTACCAGAACTTGCAACCAAGGATGCAGTAGACCAAACCGCAATGGACTTTTGCTTCTTAAACTCCAAAGCTTCCCGGAATCGCCTCATCAAGGCTGTCCAGGAAATTCCAAAAGGACGGTCCGACCTGCTGCCTCTCTATTCTCGACTGATTGCAACCCTCGGCAAGTACATGTCTGACGTACCCCAAGGGCTGGTGTCCTACTTGGATGAGGAATTCAGAAGCCTGCAACGGCGCAAGTCTAAAGACTTTCTCGGACAAGTGCGTACACAAAATGTTCGCTACCTCGCCGAGTTGACCAAGTTCGGTGTCGTTCCAGAGCACGTCATTTTCCACTGTCTCAAGGTCAGCCTGGACGACTTTTCACGCATGAACATTGAGATTATTTGCAACTTGCTCGAGAACTGTGGCCGATATTTACTCCGCAACCCAGAGACTTCTCCTCGCATGGCTTCTTTCCTGGAAACTCTCCAGCGTAAGAAAGCAGCCCAGGTCATCGGTCAGCAGGAGCGTATGCTGATCGAAAATGCCGTATACTACGTGAACCCTCCACAACGTGCCGCAATTGAACAAAAGGAACGCACCCCGATTGAGCTTTTCCTGCGCAAGATCATGTACCAGGACTTGACACGTCGCTCGCTCGACAAAACTATCAAGCAGATTCGCAAGATGCACTGGGAGGAAGAAGACGTGGTCAATCTCCTTCACAAAGTGTTTGCAAAGCCCGGAAAGATCAAGTACAGCAACATTCATCTTCTCGCCGTGATGCTGGGAACCATTCATCGGTTCCATCAAGACTTTGCCATTTCTGTCGTCGATGACCTGCTCGAATCCATCACCTTCGGACTGGAGTTGAACGATTTCAAGTTCAATCAGCGGCGCATCTCGGAAGTCAAGTATCTTGGAGAGTTGTATATATATCGGCTTGTTGATTCGCCGCTTGTATTTGACACTCTCTACAAACTCTTGAACTACGGCTGGGAGGGCGGATACATCCGACCTGGAGTCTACAACCCTCTTGATCTCCCGGACGACTACTTCCGTATCCGTTTAGTCTGTAACCTCCTGGAAACATGTGGCATGTACTACGACAAAGGTGCTGCAAAGAAAAAGCTTGATTTCTTCCTTACCTTTTTGCAGTACTACGTTTGCATGAAGGAGGCGCTGCCCATGGATGTAGAGTTCATCGTCCAGGATGCATACAATCTTGTTCGCCCGCAGTGGAAGATGATCACAGACCCGGAAGAAGCCTCACGTGCTTTTGCCGAAGCTGTCAAGCAAAACTACCAGACAACAGCAACCGACAAGCCTGTGGAGCCTGATGATGATGACGTCTCCGCGTCCGACGACGAGTTAGATGGCCCAGACGACGAGGATGTTGAGATGCCAGAAGGGGAGGGCGACAAGTCGTCTGGCGAGGAAGAAGACGAGTCGGAAGATGATGAACCGGTCAAGCAAGCTTCGTCAGACGAGGAAGAGGAGCGCATCGTCGTGACACGCCAGGAAGATGAACGCGACCCGGAGGCTGACGCCGAGTTCGACCGTGAGCTTGCTAAGCTCATGTCTGAGAGTGCAGAGTCGCGCAAGCATGATCGAAAGCCTGTATTTGATGTGCCGTTACCCATGCGGCGCGCCCGAGAGGCTCCAGTAAACGCCGAAGACAGTGGAGGCGAAGCACCAGCTCCAGTTGCTCCACCTTCATCGCAGACCATGAAGTTTTCGCTGCTTAGCAAACGTGGCAACCGCACGCAAACCCGATCTATTGACCTACCTTCAGACTCAACTTTTGCTGTCGCCATGCGCAACAAGCAACAAGCGGATACAGAGGAACGACAGCGCATCAAGAGCCTTGTTTTGAACTACAACGAAGCTCGCGAGGATGCCGACGATACAATTGGTGATTTGCCATTTCTTTACACCCTTCATCCTAACACTAGTGGGCAGCATACTAAATTATTTAAAGGTCTGGACAAGACTCCGAATCCGTATGCGCAGCCCCGCCTTGACAAGGCTGGTACCAATCGCAGCAACCAACGCGCAAGAAAGCTGCAACTGTCAGATGTCAACTGGTATGATTCCTATTCTTCCCCCCGAGAAAGTCGCCTTGTGTCTCGCACAACGTCTGCTTTCGCACATGCTCCCCCATCAGTCTTGGCATCGAAGCGTTGAGGCGTTGTGCTATTTCCAGGCTTCTTACAAATCTCATTATATTATTTGCTGTCAACATGAATCCGACTGACTGTTTAGGACCTGATTTGTTTTTTGATCTACGATGCTACGACTAGCATCCAATATGAACAACAGCAAAGCGTCTATGCTTGTCAGCGCTACTGCAAAAAAGCATACTATTTCGGATGGCAGACATCACTGGTTGATCAGCTCCATGATGATATTGCGACTACATTCGACAAACTAAGCAACGGCTTCCATCACAAGACGAACAATGGACGGCGCCCACAACAGGGCGTTGGTCAGGTAGATGAGAACGCTGTGGTCTTTGCGCACGTAGAGTTGTAAAAGGAGAGGAAGGCTTTGATGAAGCGCAATGTTGACGAAGAAGTGTCTATCTACGCGTCACCAACCCACATGTCCCGTTCACAATAGGCGGTAATATACTTGGAGACATATTTCCGGCTGTGGAACGGTCACGATGGTGTCATAGCTGGCAATACCAATCAGTCTTAATAGTCTAGTACTCTTGCTTGCACAACCCAAAATTGCAATCTTTTTCCATCTTCACTGGCCCGTGATGATAGCTAGAGCGGATTTTCGTGACATCTGAGAAGTGCTGAGAAAACAGTTTCCAAGCATGCTTCCTAAGCTTGAACGCAATACGCAATAGACGGCAGAGATGCTGTATGCATAGGTGTAGATAACAAGCTGCAAGTGACGATATCCAAGCCCTTGGCACTGCCGCGTTGGTGCGGCGCGTTGGATTAGTGCATCCAAAGTACCTAGTGGGACCATGTACGTCACTGATGATTGA